ATCTCTTCAACTTCAAATCCCCAACAACGGCGCCAATTTGTTCAATAGTAATGTTGACATCCGAGTTGGCCAAAAGGAGACCGGACGAAGACGACCTTAAAAACTGGGTCCGGAGCCGGTCTAACACGTAAGTGCCTGGCTGATGGTGCCGACCTCGACAGATGCCGACCTGGGAAAAGGATCCTGAAGACTCAGGGAATGTATCTAGTTCGGAAGCTGACCTAGAGGCCCAGAGCAGCCACCCCAGAGACGAGCATAGAGCTCGACAATAATAAAATATTCTAACTTAAAAGATCATCATTGGCAATTAGACAGGACGTCATAGCCTGCCACCCTACCGGAATCTAGCCCGACAAGATCTGTCAAGCATTAAATGCCCATCATGTATGCATTAAATGCCTAACAGACAATGATTAAGAAAACCTCAAATCGCATTAAATAACTGAAAAGGAGGCGCCGGACTGCTCTGCAAGAACACTGTGCGACAAGACCGGTGAACAATACCTGAATAGTAGCATTTAAGAGTACTATAAATATGAACCCTCCTCATTTATTTTGGGTTGTTGAATTTCAACTACTCTTCCTTCTCTCTACTTTCTCTCTAAAAACTTGTAATATATCCCTGTAATTATTCCAACTGTGAGTAAAGTGCCGACCTCGGTCACAGAGGCCGACCTCGTAATTACGTAATAAAATATAATTAATCCGTATCTTCTCTTCATTTTCAGTCTTTTACTTTCACAATACTTTATTTTAACCGTTGATCGGATCCGTCCATCAACAAGTAAATCATGGGGTAGATCGTAACCGAGCTACACGACCTCGATTCATTCTCAGAGGAAGACTATTCAGAGCTTCATTTACTACTTAATTGCCCAAAACAAACAAAAACGAGAAAATAAAACCCTAAACATGCTAATCAATGGATTGAAGATTGAATTAAACACTAATTGCAATTAGAAATCGAAATCACTTGAAAACTAGAAAATAAAAATGAGAACTTAGGTCAACCAGGGTCTCTATGACTCGAATAAACACAACTAACCAAGAAACATCGTAATAGTCAAGTGATCCTAGGTGATTAAGTCGAGCTTTCTAAATAACGACTACGCTTTAAACAAAGTCGCAACCTTTAAACAAGATAAGCACAAAATAATCCCTAACACACATCGACAAGCAACAAGAATCGAACAATCTTCCATTCAACAAGCAAGATACCAAGTTCACTTGGAAACACATCATAAGCAAAAGTGGGAAAAATCGAAGTAATGAGGATTAAAGCTAATTACCCACTCCCCTAATGCATGCGTGAAGAACACCGGATGGAATAATTCGAAACTTGAAAAAAAATGACGTCACCAGAAACTTGCCGAAAAATTTGAGTCATAAATCTCCTAAGGAGAAATAGAGATAAAACATTTCCCAATGTGGGAAAGTAGGAAAATGAAAGATGGATCCCCAAAAATGCAAAGGAAAAAACATATTT